AGAATAGCAAATCCAAAGAACTTAGTGTCCATAAAAGGGTTTGGCTATTCTGTTTACTTGAAAGAAAGTGATGGGGGAGGGCAGTAAAGCAGTGAGTTAGTCTCTATGATTAAAGTCCACTTTAGTCATCATGCCTGCTAGCCTGTGAAAATTTTGCAGTTTTCAGTGACGAGTCCCTTCAGCCTTCCATTTCAGCCTTCTTCAGTTTGAACCCACCAGCCACTCCACAGAAGAAAGATGAGGCAGTCTGCTTCCGTAAAGATTTACAACCTTGGAAACCCAATGGGGGTCACTATGAGTCAGAATCAATTTGTTGGCAGTGAGTTTGGTTTGGTTTTTATGCCACGTGCTGCAGGCAGGAATAAAAGTTCCACCAATTTCTCTGCATCTGTCAGGTTTGGAATACTTTCAGAAAATGTTACCATCCAGGGAGCCTCGTGGAAGATCTTTTCTTCGTTGTTGTTTTTAAGGTGGATGTCTGTTTTGGGGAGAAGGACCAGAACTGTGTTGCCAGTTTGTGCAAAGGATGTAAATAGAAGATGGGTGGAGATTTGGAAGTAACACCTTTTTCCAAAGAGAGAAAAAAGGAAGAACCTTAAACTGGAATAGAAGATTAGAATATCTGTTGGGATTGGAGGTCACCCTGGAGGCTGGAGGCAGGTTCCTTGTGGTTCATGAGATGCTGAGGAGATGGTAAAGCACGGGAAAGGGAAGGATGTGATTTTGGAAAGGCGCCCTTCTTGCAACCCTCAATTATATTAGAATATCAGAATCACCTGGGGACATCTTAAAATTCTGGTGCCCAGGCCTTATTCCAAGCCAATCATAATTTTTTAAAAGCTCCCCGAGGTTTCAGTGCGCCACCAATGTTGATAAGCCATGCTCAACATAATCACTTTACAGTTGGAGAAAATTTAGCTAGGGAGTGGGTAACTAGAGATGACAATTAAGTCTGTTGTGAGTGTCCTTCAATTCTGTTCCTTACTCCCCCTATGCAGTGGCAGTATTGCAGGGGAGAGAGTAGTAAAGAGAAAATAAAGCTGTTTAAAATTCTACATCTGCCCACCTCCAAACCCCAGACCTTTCTGTTTCTTGCACCACAAAGCTTGTTTAATATCCTGATGATCAGCAGGCAGACTCCTTTGTACGTTCTTCTCCCTTAAGCGAGCATCACAATCTATCGCGCTGTCCTCTTACTGGCAGTTATTCCAGATCAGTGATGCTATCAATTGCTTCATTGATCAGTGTTGCCAGTGGGAGGGACCCCGTCTTGTCTGTTGTTGTAGTTGTGTACTGAGTCCATTCTGACTCACAGCAAACCTGTAGGATGGAGTAGAACTGTCGCATAGAGTTTCCTAGGCTATAATCTTTACTGGAGCAGATCACTGTGTCTTTTCTCCCATGGAGCAGGCTGGTGGGTTGGAACCATTGACCTTTGGATTAGCAGCAAAGCATTGACCGTAGTGCCACCAGGGTTCCTTCTATACTCACTGCTGTCTAGTTGGATCCAACTCATAGTGACCCCTCCTTGAATTTCTGAAGCTGTGTCACTACAGAAGTAGATTGCCCAACCTTCCTTCCGAGGAGTGGCTGGTGGGTTTGAACCGCCAGCCTTCTGATTGGCAGTCAAATGCCTTAGGCACTAGGCCACCAGAGCTCCTATGATATCTGTTGTTGTTGTTATGTGCCGTCAAGTCAGCCCTGACTCATAGCGACCCCTCCTTGGGTTTCCGAGGCAGTATCACTACAGAAGTAGGATTGCCCAACCTTACTTCCGAGGAGAGGCTAGTAGGAAGTAATTAGCTCTTTGGTTAATTGGGGGAATTGGGCTTTCACTGAGTGTGGCTATCCACTTGGCTTGGTAGGCTTAGAGAGCCCTGCTCCTCCACTGGATTCTGTGGGTGGAGGTAAATCTCTTTAGTGTCAATACACTCTCTGGTATCAGGATTTGTGTTCAGGTGAAGTGAGATGGAGTCAGGGATTGGTTCAAGGCTACGTGAAGTCTCATCTGGGTCTCCTTCTGTACTCACGCAACAAAATTTGCCCTACCACATTATTGTCAACCCTCCTCCCTCAAGTCCCTGGTCAGTGCCCAGAACAGTGAGAGTGGGATTGATTTGAATTCCTGCACCAGTAGCTGCACTTATTGTCCATCCTTTTCCCTCCCTTGGAAACCCAAAGAGGGGTTGCTATGAGTTGAATCAACTCCACGGCGGTGAGTTTGGTTTTTGGGGTTTTCCCAATCCTCAGCTCTTACCTTTCTCAAAATACAACCACCTTCCTTAGTAATGCTAATATGTCTTTGGCTTTTTTTTTTTTTTTTTTCCTCCTCCTCTCAGACTCTAATCAAACTGGAGCTGTTAATGATGTCTACCCTGATGATCTAATGTGCTCATTATTTAGCTCTTCTGTCACCTTCCTTTGACTTCTGAGGCCATCAAACACTTATTGTTTATTGTCTTAGCCTTAGAATCTTAGGTTCAGTCATTGGGGAGGGTGGAGTTGCATTATCTCCCTTCTCCTTGGTGACTTCTTTGACAGTATACTTTTCCTGTCAGAAAGAACCATGAAGGACTGTGTACCTTCAGATTTCAAGGAGTTGTATATCCACATCTCTTTTCCTTGGCCTATGGCAAAAGAAAATGAAGTCCAACCTTAAGTTTCCTATAAAGTATTGTTCCTCAGTCTGGGTAAGAAGGCTGGGTTGAGGTGCCCTCTAGTGGGTACTTCTCTACCTTTGCATTTTCCCTTTAAAGAAGTGGGAAGAGTTGGATAGGGGCATAGAAGCCCTGGTGCTAGTCCTCATTCTACCGTGGACTTGCTATGAAACCTTGGGCAAAGCACTTCATCTCTCTTGGTTTTAGTTCCTTCCATGTAATACAAGAGTGTAGATTATCTGGTTTATGCCTATGAAAATCTATTCCTTCAAGTGTCCAGGACTTCTGTAATGGCTAAGTGAGGATCTCAGTAAATCCTCTTTCCAAAAAGCAAAGATAAAGCCGGACAAATTAAGACTGGAAATTTGACCAAAAGCATACAACAAATAGAGAAGTTATTCGAATAACTCAAGAAAATCTACTGAATCTAGGAAAGAACAATGCGGGCCCGTGGTTTTTCAGGTCTCCCTCTTCCAGCTCTGTGTGGGAAACTCTACCTAGGTAGGTGGGACAGGCTGGGAGGATAAGAGTTGGCAACAAATGTGCATGTGTGTGTGTATTTATTTGAGGCAGAATGTGGAAAGTCCCATGCCCAAGGACATTGTTGAAAACAACGACTATCTCAGTGTCAAAAAAGCACAGAAGATAAACATTGAACCTAGCCTGAGGTTGCAATGCTTGTTGGGACAAGAAATAGACAACAGATCAACCAGGAATTTAACATGAAAATCCAGGTAGCAAGACCTCTTAAGAGGACCTTGGAAAGCTGCCACATATACCGTGTGGTCTGTAAGGCATTCTTAAGTCTTGTACAAACATTCAGGAGAGACTGGAGAAAGTCCTAGGGAGTCTCTAGTCCCTGGCTGAACATGAGGCCTTGTAAATGCAGAAGTAAAAGCTGGGACAGACTTGTAAACTTTGAGAACTTTGAGTGCATTTTTTTTTCAAGTCACACAAAGACCCACTGACAAAGGGGTGAAGCCTTATTGGTTCAATGTGTAGTCCAAATTCTGGTCAAATATTGACTGATCATTAAGTTATATTGGCCCAGGGATGATCCCTAGGAAGCCAGGCTTAAACATAAAACAAGAGGAAAAACTTAGTGGCTACTTCAGTGGCCATACACTGTGAAAGAAACAGACACAATAGAATTACTCCAGTAAGGTCACTAAACAAATAAACTGAAAAACCAACAAATAAACGTGAAAATAAACAGCAACAACCACCATTCCTCAAGGATAGGGCTAATCAGAATCCAGAATCACTACAATATATTATCTAAAATGTCCGTTTTTTAACAAAAAATTATGAGATATGCAAAGAAGTGGGAGTGGCGCATACATAAGAAAGCAAAAACGAAACAGTCAATAGAAACTGTTTCCTAGGGGGCTCACATGTTGGACCTAGAAGGCAAAGACTTCAAAACAGCATTATGGGTATATTTAAAGAAGTAAATGAAAGTAGGATGACAATGACTCATCAGAGAGGGATATCAAAGAGACAGAAATGATAAGAAAGCACCAAATGAAAAACAATCAGGAGGCAACCTTCTAGGGTGCAGGTGGGAGAGAAGCTAGAGATCAGCAACTGATGGCATGGGTGTGGAGAAGAGGGGAGGACCTCCTGGGCCACCAGCAGGCCACGTGGGGGTGAGAGTGTGAGGGAGGTGGGAATCAGGGTGCCCATATGGGCAGGCAGCCTTTGGGGGAATAGGGCTTACATTGAGTGTGGCTATTCACTTGGCTTGGTAGGCTTAGAGAGCCCTGCTCCTCCACTGGATTCTGTGGGTGGAGGGTAAATCTTGACTGGTTTCCCTGTCAAGAGGACCCCAGAAAGCCTGAGGCTGCAAGGGTGCTGAGAGACTGAGAGTGTGGGCTCAGGCATCGCTCCACGGCTCTCCTCATACCCACATTATTGACCATCAGTCCTCCTCGTCCCCAGCTGGAAACTGCAGGGAAGTTCTTCCCTCTTGAAATGTCCCTCCAGCCCTTTCTATTGAGAAATCTTAACATCTTGCTTACTTTAAAGGAGAGATGCTTAAAATCAGACTATATATGCAAGAGGACATTTGGAATTGAGAGGTAATATATTGATAACTAGCACGGGTAGCCTATAAAGCTCCAATAATGAGAGTGATAACAGGAGAGGAAGGGATGCTCTTTGGTCCTTTGTGTAAAGAGAAATTTCTCCAGTTTGGGTAAAGTGATTAGCAGCAATGAGAGAGTCTTAGGTTGAGCTGCAGCAGGTCCCCAGCTGGGACTCTAGAGTTCCTTGGGCAGGTGCAGTTTCTCTATCTATCTATCTATCTATCTACCTATTTATTTATTTAATTTTCCATTATAGGGAAAACCAAAGCCCAGACCTGGAGACCTGATTGAGATTTTTCGAATTGGCTATGAACACTGGGCCATCTATGTGGAAGATGATTACGTAGTCCATCTGGCTTCCCCATGTAAGAGTGGATAGTCTATTGAAATACTGATACTGAAGTTAATTGTTCTGCTCCTCAGCTGCTGCCGTTCTTAGCAATAAAGCACCCATGACTGGGCCCTATTTACTGCATAAAATAGCTTGGTCTCTGTTTACCAGTAACCACCGAGCGTTCACCACAAAGAGAGATGGAAGTGTAAAAAGTGCTGTCCTAGTTCCCTGACCTTCCAGGTCATTCTTCATTTTAAAGTACAAATGTAAGAGCTTGACCCTCCATTTTGTATTGACAACAGTTCAGTGTTGTTGTTAGTAAGTGCCATAGAGTTGGTACTGACTCATAGGTATACTATATACAACAGAATGAAGCACTGCCTGGTCCTGACCCATCCTCACAATCCTTGTTAGGCTTGAGCCCATCGTTGCCACTGTGTCAGTCCATCTTGTTGAGGGTCTTTTTTTCACCGACCCTCTACTTTACCAAACATGATGTCCTTCTCCAGGAACTGATCCTTCCTGATAACTTATCCAAAGTGTGTGAGACAAAGTCACTCCACCCTCACTTCTAAGAAACCTTCTGGCTGTACTTCTTCCAAGACAAATTGATTTGTTCCTTCTTCTGGCAGTCCCTGGTATATTCAATATTCTTCACCAATACTGTAATTCAAACCTTCGGTCTTCCTTGTTCATTGTCCAGCTTTCACATGCATATAGGGTGATTGAAAATACCCTGGCTTGGGTCAGACCCACCTTATTCCTCTTTGCTTTTTAACACTTTGAAGAGGTCTTTTGCAGCAGATCTGCCCATTGTAATATGACATTTGATACATTGACTACTGCTTCCATGGGTGTTGGTTGTGGAGCCAAGTAAAGTGAATCCTTGACAACTTCAATCTTTTTTCTGTTTTTCATGATACTGCTTATTGGTCCAGTTGAGAGGATATTTGTTTTCTTTATGTTGAGGTGTAATTCGTATTGTAATCCTTGATCTTCATCAGTAAATGCTTCAAATCATCTTCACTTTTCAGCAAGCAAGGTTGTGTCATCTGCGTATCTCGGACTGTTAGTAAGTCTTCAATCAATCCTGAAACCACATTCTTCTTCATATAGCCAATCTTGTCAGATTATTTGCTCAACGTACAGAGTGAGTAAATATAGTGAAAGGATAAACCCTACACACCTTTGCTGATTTTAAACCATGCTATATCCCCTTGTTCTGTTTGAACAACCGTCTCTCCATCTATGTACAGGTTCTGCATGAGCATCATTAAGTAAGTGTTCTGTAATTCCTATTCTTCCCAATATTATCCATAATTTGTTGTGATCCACACAGTCCATTGTCTTTACATAGTCAATGAAACACAGATAAACATCTTTATGGTCCTCTTTGCATTCAGGCGAGATCCATCTGACATCAGCAATGGTATCCCCCATTCTACATCATCTTCTGAATCCTGCTGGAATTTCTGGCAGTTCCCTGTTGATGTACTGCTGCAACCATTTTTGAATTATCTTTAGCAAAATTTTACTTGCATGCAATATTAGCAATATTGTTCAATAATTTCCACATCTTGTTGGATCATCTTTCTTTGGAATGGGCATAAATATGGATGTCTTCTAGTCAGTTGGCCAGGTAGCGGTCTTCCAAATTTCTTAGCATAGATGAGTGAATATTTCCCTCATTGCATCCATTTTCTGAAACATCTCAATTAGTCAATTCCTGGAGACTTGTTTTTCACAAACTCCTTCAGTGCAGCTTGGACTTCTTCCTGCAATACCATCAATTCTTGAACATATGCTACCTCCTCAAATGGTTGAATGTTGACCAGTTCTTTTTGGTGCAGTGACTCTGTGTATTCCTTCCATCTGCTTCCTGTGTTATACAATATTTTGCCCATAGAATCTTTCCATATTGAGACTTGAGGTTTGAATTTTTTCTTCAGTTATTTCAACTTGAGAAATGCTGAGTGTGTTCTTCCCTTTTGATGTTCTAACTCCACGTCTTTGCATATTTCATTATAACACTTTGTCTTTTTGAGCTGCTCTTTGAAATTTTCTGTTCAGCTCTTTTAGGTCATCATTTCTCCCATTCTCTTTAGCTACTCTATGTGCAAGAGCGGTTTAACAGCTTTCCTCGTATTTCTAAAGATTCCCTTGAAGGGATGCGGGAGGGATGTTCTGGTTGTTATTGTGACCTGTGGTTCCCAAATGCTACTTCCAGCTTCCTGATCACCTTTGGGAGTCTCCTCACCTCCTCTCCCTACAGCTCCAATCTGCTGGAGTCTACTTCACCCTAAATGTAGACATCTTTTATTTCTCATGGCAATGCTAACACAAAGCTGAGATTAAACTTGTGGTTAACCAAATTTTAGTGGAGATTTGATTGGAGGGGTGGTGATAATAGAAGAAAAGTGCAGTGTAGAACAAAAATAACTTAGACTTGGATGTGTAGAATCCCTAGGCACAGTGGTTGTCACCGACGATGGGACCTGGGGAACTGGGTGATGGGGAAGGAAGAAGAGACACCATTGTATACTCTTGGACTTCTTTTGAATTTTGTATCCTGTGCAGATATCACTCGTTCAAAATTAAATGACAGAAAGGCCCTGCTGCCAAAGGCCATTGGCTGCACCTTGTCCACAGCTCTCATCCTTGGATGCTGTCCTCCTCCTTTATCCCAGCCTCCCCTCTTTCTGGGAGCTCTGGTAGCATAGTGGCTAAGACACTTGCCTGCTAACCAGACGGCTGG